GGGAGTAGGAAAGGAAAATGAGAGAGATGGGGAGCGAAGCCATATCCTGCAGAAATGGACCTATTCTCCATAACAAATTCCGAGCTCTTCCGGACTCCCCCTATCTCTTTCGTTCTCTTCCGCCCATACTCGCCGAATTTTCATGAGGAGAGAGCCCCATTTCTCCGATGAGTTATTAGCGGCCGATGTCGCAGACGGGATTTCGGGTATCTCTGCACGTGCCCGAGGGAGTCGACAGGGAACAGATTCCTTCTTCCCCCCTGGCCCTAATTACAGGTTGCTTTTTTCGGCCCCGGGGGCAGCCGAAGAGAGCCAGAGCCCAGATGTGTGATGCAACGCGGCATCGGCTTCCCTTTCCCCCTATCTCCTCATCTCCCATCTCCCTATCTCTCTAGTCTAATGAACTGCTAATGACAGGAAACGGTTCCTTTATCCACACCTGAGACCCTATGGACGCTGGTGAAGAAAGGGACGAAGCCAGAACTATCACGAGTCCTGTCGAACATGACGGGGAGGAGCCCGGAAAGGGAGAGTCATCTAATCATAATGGGGCGCTCCTTGCGAAACCCTCCCGTCCTGTTCGCCGAGAATAAATGCCAAGTCAGTCGCCATAACGATCCTGTGGTTCACGGTATTCACGGGGTGCTCCATCATCGGGATACTCCGGATTGAAGACGTCGATGCATCGGAATGCCCCGAAATGGAAGCCATCCATTTCATCGGGGATGCCCCGGAATGGAAGCACCCATAGGGAGTTTCCCCATCGGGAGATGCCCCATCCCAATACGGCAGCGCCTATTGTATTCGGATGCTCCGAAACGGAAGCATCCGATGGATCGCGGTGCCTATCCCATTCCGTTCCTTAGAATGCAGGAATCTTGCCAAAGGATCCCCTCGGCATACATGAATATGAAACCCCGACTGGATGTCTCGTCTGTCTATCTGTCAGCTGCCTTCACTCGGCGAACCATCCGAGCATGGGAGAGCCCTCTCCCCCAACAATGCAGGGGAACACGGGAGACAGAGACGCAGGTCCTGTTATTTCAGGGAAGTCACAACTACTCCCGGCCTGAGAAAATTTATTCGGGACGGATGGCGCTTAGGCACGAAGGGCGGCATTTAGGGGCCGAAAGGGAAAACGCTCTTCGGGTTGAGAAAACAAGCCTTTTCAGCGAAGACATCCCCTCTTTTTTTCCCTCTCTGTCTTTCTTCTATGCCCCTCTCTTCACGTTCACATCCACAATGAAATGCAAGCAAACACTTGGGGTCGAGGGCTGGAAAAAGCCCCGGGACGCCTGGGAAACTACGGGGTGGCACATAACCTGAAACACATGGGACTCTACTTTTTTTTTAATGCTCGTTCGTGCAGAAGATCTCTAAAACACTCCAGTTTCAAAAGAAGATTATGTTACACAATCGAAGGAATGTGTTGCAATTAGTTCCGTGTGAAAGATCGTGTAATAAATCCTTATCGTCTGGTTACAATGCGTCCTAAAAGCTTATCCTGGCGATGAACCTTTTCTTCCTTTCTTCCTTTCAGGCAACTACCCTCCATTATCCCGTTGTCGAATGATCCTATCGCGAAGATGGGGCGGAAGAGAACGAAAGAGATAGGGGGAGTCCGGAAGAGCTCGGAATTTGTTATGGAGAATAGGTCCATTTCTGCAGGATATGGCTTCGCTCCCCATCTCTCTCATTTTCCTTTCCTACTCCCCTTTTTTTTTTCCTTCTTTCTGGCATGGGAGCCGTGGAATGACGCCACGAACAAAGGAGCCCGGGCTCGAGTTGCCCCGGTCGCATTAAAAGAAACACACAAGGGCTCGGGGACGGTCTTGGTCGATTGAATCCTATCCAGGCATTGTTTCTGCGTCGAAGGAAGCGGGGGTGGGAGGAGCAAGGGGAAAACAAATACTTTTCCTCTCTAACGAGGAACCGAACTTGGCAGGCATCGCCGAGACACGGGGGGAAAGGATCGGATGTCCTTTCTCGCTACCGATGTCCTTTTTCTGTGCATTCCAGCAAGGTCAAAGGCCACCCCAGCTGCCATCGCTCCGTTTCGATCGGTTGCCTCGGTCGAGTGACATCTCTCCACGCCCTGGAAATAATCAGGAATATAAAAAAAATAACCGAAGGCGTCGAGCTAAGAGACGGAGACAGATCGGATGTACTTCCTGTTTCGGTGTCTTTCAGGCGACACTGTCAACTGTCAGGCCGTCCTCACCGGTCCTGGGATAAATCGCTCGCTAATGTGGCCCCAACCTCTTGAACACGTGCCAGCCGTGCTTTTAAAGAGAGAGAGACTGAGTGCCTATAAAACAAGAGTGCTTCACAGGGATATGACTCCAGCTTCTTCCCCTCTGTCGTGCATGTTAAACACTCGCTTCTATAGACTCAGGGAGCCATAACACATCACAAAGAGGCCAGTGACTCATCCCCTTTTTTTTTCCGGTTCCAGACCTGAAGAAGCAATTCCGCGAGAGTCCCGGATCCGCGACCGTCCCGCTGGGGAAAAAGGCGGAATTCCGCTGCCAGGCCCCCGACGGCAGCCCGCCTGCGAAAATCACCTGGCTCAAGGATAATCTCCCTCTGGAGGGATTCCGGGACGGAAACGTCTTCACGCTGTCCACCGGCGACCTGGTCGTCTCTCAAGTGCGGCAGTCGGACGCAGGGAATTACACCTGCGTCGCGGAAAACCTGGCCGCCAGGCGGCTCTCCGATCCCGTCACTCTCGCCGTCAGCGGTAAGTCCATTCAGATTTTTTATTTCTGGGGAATGTCGAGACCTTTATTATTATTATAAAGGTCTGAATGTGGCTCGAGCATCGCCACAAGGAATCATATTTAAAATAAAAAATATATTTCAAGAGTTCGTCACTAAAAAGCATCTTTACATTAATTAGTGATAGGCTGATGGTAAAAAAAAATTTCCCGATAGCCTAATAAAGGTAAGAACCGCGGCCAACAGTCAGCTGGTTATCTCCAAAGCATCGAACTGCGATCGATAGCTGATAAAACAGGCTGCTGCCTTGGAATGCCGACCGCTCGTTCTTCCTCCTTTGTAAGTTTACCTATCCTCGACTTTGATTAGTCAGCAGCTAAATAAGAGTTGTTGGACTGGAGCAAACACGCTTGGATGCGCACCGAGAGGGAAACTTGGGAGAAGTGCGGATGATGCGAGTGAAGTATCTTTCCCGGTGAGAGGTGATGTGCCCAAAGGGCATATACAGATGCCGGTACCTTTATCGGCTCTGTCAGCTAGCATTAACCGAGTAAATGTCATGAATAAGCTTGAATCAATCACCGACACACACATATATAATTTCGTGCAGGCTTGTGGTCACTCCAGTATTTTTTTAAATTACTTTTTGAAAACTACACATACGTTTAAGGCTTTTTACCACCGCCTCAGCAATTTCATACGAGAGCTTGGGCGCTCCACTACTAGACAGACGAAGTCATCGTTAATGAAAGGTACTCATATCCATTCAAGGTACCGTTACCTTCCGCGAGTTATTGTTATGACGGAAGAGTGTCTGGATTCCTTGCCCGGTCTCACCCATGCAATCTACAGAGTCTCGAGAGCGAACGGGGTGATCCGCCTCCGTCCGGGCTCCCCCGTGCTCCCTTGCGCTCCCTCGCTAGGAACGAGTCGTTTGAAATCGATGATGGAATCGGCCTGAAAAGCTGCTTTAATGAACTTGGGGGGGAGTTGAAAAGCTCTCAACCCTTGGGGTCGGCATCATAACGAGGTGCTTCAGTTTAATCGCCTCTGCGTTCTCTGCTTGCAATGAGGGAAGCGGAACTGCGATTGAGGAGTTCTCTGGAAAAATTGAGGAGTCCTTTGGGTTCTCTGGGCGTCAGTGCACATACGCACTTTTTTTTCCCTGTCCGGGTCCAGGCGCTGCTTGAGGGAACTTGTCGTAGGAGAGGGTGGTCAGCGGGTGGTTCAGATGCGGATTCAGCAAAGGGGAGATTTCAGCTAATTTTCAGCGAAAGATTTCGACATCTTCGAGAGAGATGCAGATTTTTTTTATGTTTTCACAGCATGGCTGGCCAACTGCCTGAGACAAAGCCGATATGGCTGCTCCATGAATATTCCATTAGCATCTGCATCCCTGAACGATTTAGGTGGAATAATTTCATTACTTCGAACTGAAAGCGAGAAAGGGGAAGAAAGAGGGGAAAAGGGGAAGAAAGAGGGAAAAGGGGGAAGAAAGAGGGGGAAAGGGGAAGAAAGGGGATTTGTCACCCGAGCAAGCCTTGCGAGAAGTTGGCGATTCAGACGATGAATAAATAATAATAATACATAAATTCAAAGAAATGGATGACTGATGAGTAATTGGTAAATGAAACTTGTCCTGAATATTCACATTTTTCTTGCCGTACTTTGAGGAAGAGTTGACTTGAAATCTGTAGATTTACTTATCGATAAATTAGCGATGTGAGAAGAAGGAATTCTTTCGATTGGGAAAAGATATATCATACCGTTTGAAAAATGAGCTTTGACCAGCTGCAGGTTAGCTATGGGAAGTTTTTGCCGTTCATCTCGAATTGCATCTTTTGCACGTTTTTTTATTATAGAAAACCCCTAATTTTTTTTTAAGATTCGTTCAATCAGGTTATTTTTAACGACCAGCTGATCTTAATTCAGGTAATTTAACTCGTCAGTCATATTTTAGGATTCGGGTCTTCTGAATTCCTTGACTTGAATCGAACCCGCGTCCGTAAGCACGTTCCAAATTCCCAGGATTCTGAGAATTAAAAATATTTTTATGTAATTTTTTTTTTAGTCCTTTCATTCCAGAGTCGGCCATCTTGCTTCGGCCGTCCCCGACGGGGCGAAGCGAATGTAAATCGAGTTGCGAAATGTGCGCCAGCTTGGTAAATGTTGATATAGTCAAGATGTAACATTTCAGAATAAACAATGGAGAACGATTTACCTTTCTCAAACACTGCAAGATTGCCAAAAGTCACAGAAAGGACATCATGAGGTATTTGTTCTCCATTCTCCCGTTTAATAAATAAATTTGTTGCTCGTCAAGTGGATACGAAAACCAAGAAATTGGATTTTTCAGAAGCTGTGATGACGCACAAAAATGAAAAATTTGCGAACTAACATGTGCACTCCCGGGCTAACAAGCGTCGTTTGCATTGACAGAGAGATTAATTGCCGATGATTGCAGGGAACACGGAATGGATAGAATCTGGGCAAATCGAGACGATTTCGCTTCACCAATATCATTTACTTTATTCTGCGCCTTCAACTTCAACGGAAAAAATAAAAAAATAAACTAAGCTGAAAATTTTATTTATATACAAAGCTTAGTTGAGATGAATCTCTCAGCAGAGACTCGTTGAGCCCGCAAATCTCCGAAGTGCTATATCTCCCATTTATGCCTAATCTTCGGTGCCGAAAAAAGTGGGACGCGATATTCCTCATAGCAGTTTTTTTTTTTTAATCTCGGAAGGACTTGTCTTGCTTTCTGCTGGTGAATACCCCTTGTTCTCCGAGGCATCGCGAGTATATTTATAGCGCACACATGTGTATATCATCAGTGTGTCTGCCGTTACATATGCCATATATTTCTGGCAGAGCTTATCCATCGAGAAATCGCACGGTAGAGAGCTATAATGGAGTGCAGTGGAGAGACACTCGAGCCCCCCCCCCCCCCCCCCCCCCCCTCTTTCCCCTCCCCCCGATGCACGTCAGATGTTAGGATTTCCATTTCCCCGATTCTCGGAGAAACCGTGAACAGGCCGCCGCGAATGGGGGGGAGACGGATCCCACGAGACGCGGGGGGACCACCAGCGAGGCAAGCGATAAGCAGGCGCACGTAAACGGTGGGAGCCACATCCGCAGAGACATCCTCATTCTCGCGCACGAGCGCCGGGACGACGAGGCTGCCTGGGCCGCGACACGCCCGCTCTCCACGCAAAAGGGGCGGAAAGAGCGAGCGAGACGTCGTTTCGTCGAACGAGATGGAAAGGACTCGGCGGTTTCTCGAGTCCCGTAGGATTTCCATATCGATATGGAAATCGGGTTGCACCTTGTCTCCAACCCCTTTCGGTTCGTGTCATGATTCGTGAGCAGCGATAACGAATTCGAAAAGAAAAAAAGAGAATCTTGCTCGAAGACGGCGAAGATCGGGGCTCGTGATCTCCCTCAGATGGACGATAAGAGAAAAGTCCTGTATTTCGCCGGCAAGGATTTTGCGATGATTCGAGGGTACGGTCACGTGGGTCACGTTTCCCGGCCGGGTAAGAGATATCCTGCAAAAATGTGCGCCTTGGGGATCATTTCCGAATCGTGCCCGGAATGCCCCCATCCCGACCCAGTCCGTAAATTCTTTATCCAGCATCTTCTGCATGTACTCATAAATGAGGCATTGGGACAGATGGCGGAGAATGAGGATGTCCATATGTCTGCTGCCTGTCGAGGCATCGGATCCTAATTGGGGCGACGGTTATGGCATCTGTATGCAAACATATGGGGGAGGTCCTTGGACTCAGTTTTAATTGGATTTTCCCTCTTTCTTCTACCTCTATCATTAATTATCTAAAAAGCCTTTCGCGTTCCGTGCCCTTCCTCCCCCTCTTCCTCCCGTGATTCCTTCGCTTCCATTCCTTCTCTGCTGTGTCTCCGTTGCCTTCAAGCGTGATCGGTGCTCCTCCATTTCGTCGGTTGTCGCAAGCATTCGATTCGGTTTTGGACCGGATGTAAGTAAAACTACACTTCAATTTAGTTTGTTATTGTCAATTTATTCATTTAAAACTTGAAGATTGCATCTTCTCATTTTTAATTAACTGTTGGGATTTTTTTCCTTTTTTATTAAATTTATTTTTTATTATTCGATATTATTTTTCCCGATCTCATGATTTTCATTCGCTTGATTTCTTCATTCGCGATTCCCCAGCAATCATTTATCTGGTTTTGTGCATGGATGATTTTGTTTTCCAGTTGACGGGGGTTGGGGCGTATGGTCGCCTTGGTCTCCCTGCACCCCCGCCTGCGGGAACGGGGTGCAGCAGCGCACCCGCACATGCACGAACCCGAAGCCCTCGAACGGAGGCATGGATTGCTTCGGAGAGGCTCAACAGACGACGCCGTGCCACTCGTTCTGCGCCGGTACGAGCATGCATTGATAGATGGGTGGGATGGGATACAGGGTACAGGGTATCGCAGAAATGGGTAGCAGGATGAGGTGGTTATTATTATTCGATGTTGAAAGAAACTTTTTTCGTTCCCCAATCCTCGGAAACCCGCGTTAAAATTTTCTATGAACTCTCGTCCCGATACTATTGACCTTTCCAGTCCGGGGAAATCGCTGTGAATACCCTCGAATGCACGTCAGGGATCATTTGAATGACAATTCCGAAGTTCCCAATGAGATTTCCTCCCATGTCACGTCACGGTGGATGGGGACAGAAAAAAAAAAGCGCAACTCATGCAAACGAGGAGCCGTAGCTGTCAACTTCCGACCACGTTCCCATGCCGCCCGATAGTAGGTGCTAATTTTGCTCCCCGGCCAGCTGTCTCTCCCCTACAGGGTGGTTCGAATCAGGAAATGATTTTCATTCGAGAGCCATGGGCAGCGAGGGATCTTGAGCAACTTTTGAGGAAGTGCCAGGGACGGTACTTGCAAGGACCGAAACCCGATAGCCCTCGGATCGATTTACCACGCACGACTTGAACCTTTTCGTGCGAGTCTCAGTCGTCTACCCTCGAAGTCGTCTGCCCTCAAGGACGAGAGTTGAAAAATCGTCTTTCGGCTTATGAATCACCCTGTGCGATCCCGAGATTCCTCGGTTGTTGACGGATGCGAGGAAGAAACTGCAGGGTTGCGATGGCACACGAAAGGAAGAAACCGCAGGGTTGCGACGGCACACGAAAGGAAGAAACCACAGGGTTGTGATGGCACATGAAAGGAAAACTTCCAACCATGAAGGGACCAGCTTCCTGTTGTTTCTCGACGAAAGAGAGCAGCAATCCCCTCAGATGTCTTCGCGAGATTACCCCGAGCTTTTTTTTTCTGCATCAAGAAACCATTGTTCTCCTGCATCTTCTTCTTGTTCTGGCGCCAGTCGATTTTCTCTTATCTTCAAGCTCCACGGTTGGTATTTTTTTTTTATAATCGTCGCCATGCCCCCTGACGATGATACGGTCCCTGGGTTGGCTTGTTTCCGTACAACAGGTCACACTTGCAGTACTGGACCCTCGAGAGATCTTAATTGCCCTCTGTGAACTTGCCTGCAAAAATGCTGCGTCCGGTCTTATAATTATTAAAAATCCTCCGGTCTTATAATTATTTAAAATCCTCCGGTCTTATAATTATTTAAAATCACCGTTCCCATTTGTTATGAAGCACGTAATTCGGGAAATTACGTTGAGCGGAGGTGAAAGTCATTCAAGTCTCGATTAATATTTTGAATGGAAGGTCGAAAACAAGAGATAAAATCATTTGAGCGTTTTTGTTTGCAATCTCCTGCCTATCAACCCTTTGTTGAGCTTACTAAAGTGCTTGCCTTTTTTTTTATCGAGTGAGAAGGTACTCCTTTCTGATAACGGCGGTAAATCTAAAGTAATTAACTATTTCTCCGTAATGAGGTGTTAACTGAACTCCTTTCGACAGCTTTTAAGGACGAAAAAAAAAAGAAAGCACGTCTCAGTACTCTCATTAGAGCAGTCGGGAGACACAGGACAAGGTCACGTGATAATTTCAGGGTTGGGCCGGGAAAAGTCGGTCATGAGAAAGTCGTTTCATTTAAAATTCCGTTCGTAGTTCGGCAAGTAGGTCATGTCACTGACGGGATAATCCCCTTCGGCTTCGTAATTCCGAAGGATTACGTGGTAATACCGCTATCGGTGAGCAGTCGCGAAATTGAGTTGGGCCCCCTGTCAGTCAATTACAAATACTTCCAAGTCGATTTATCCTTTATTAAGTCCTGTGAGTTCGCAGTCCGGCCTTCATGTCCTTGCCCTTTGCATTCGCTACAGACCTCGCAACGTGGAAAAAAAAAAGTTTGATGCACGCGAAGCGCAGGGGACGAGAGAAGCCACGTGTGTGGCTTTCCACGGTGAACAATAATTCTGACGTTGACAGAGGACGCGTTATCTCTGAAGAAATTTATCACATCGTGAAACGCGAGAAATGTGGGCGGCTGCATGGGGAAATCCGGGACTGTTGCTGGTCCTTGGCGGATCCAAGGCGCCAGCCGCGAAGCATTTCGTGGCATTGAGACGAGTATGCGACGAAGGCTTCGTACGTCGGGGCGATGAAAGTGACACGAATTTCTCAAGAAACCAATTTTTTTTATTTTTAAGGAGAAATTTTGATTTATTTGGCTCCGATTTGGGGAAAAATCTCTTTCGGACATGGAATTCTACATACTATGCGGTATATGACATGGACTTCCCGCCGTCAAATTTATTTACAATCTTGACAACTCGGATGGGGCTTGCTCAACCTCTAGATAACCAAGGTCTGAACAGTCCTCGCCTGTCCAAGATAACCAAGTTGTGAACAGTCCTCGGGACCGCCGCCTTTCGGCTTCGCGGGATTCAAATCACTCGAGTTGAATGGCCCGACCACTCGCCGGGGCACGAGTACCGAGCTGGATGAATGAATGGGATTAAAGGGATTTGAGCTGAAATAGCTCTTGAATAGGGATTCCGGCTCTAGAGATGCCTTGTGGGGAGTTAACTGCGGTTGTTGAATGGTAATTGAGTCCATTCAATAGGTGAATACTCCAAGTATTCAGCCGATATGCTTAGGGAAGATTAGTGATTACCCCCCTTTAGGCTGGTTCCTGAGTGTTGCATTTGGTACTGCTCCGAAGGTTACTTCTCGACCTAAAGAATCGGACATGACCGGAACATGATCACCGGCAGTTCCACTTCCGCATCACTTTCGCCCATCTCTCGATTCTCCGATGGAATCGCCTTTCCGGAAGATGAAAAATGTGCCTGGCAGCCAGCATCGTGTCGAGCTGTCTTTCACCGATCGTCTGGCTGGAGGGTCAATGCAGTCTTTTTTTATGATACTCAAAGAGTATATCATTAATCTGAAATCACGGTTGAGCAACCGCTCATCATGAGGCTGTGCTCCTGTTTCTCGAGCTAATTTTCTTCGAGCAATGCCAGTTTCCCTTTTTATTACACCTTGCGTGATCACATAGGTCACTTCACGCCTCTGGATTTTTTTTTTTTTTGGCCGCAAGACTATTAACTCCTGTTCCTATTAAAATGGCATTGGAAGCAGTGATGGACTTTTCGAGTCACGCTAACGACGACCCTCGTTCCCCCATGTAGGCGTGGACGGAGGCTGGAGCGAATGGACGAAGTGGTCCCCATGTGGACCGGATTGCCTCCACTTCCGCAGTCGGTCATGTACGAATCCCCCACCACAACACGGAGGGAACATCTGCTTCGGTCAGAACCTGGAATCCTCCAACTGCACCGGCGGCGAATGCATCCGTAAGTCTTCCCGGTGCATCGTTATCCTTTCATCCTCCGTCCCCTGAGCGGATCGAAGGAAGCACCTGGATGGGGGAAAAAAGAAGAGAATGCGCGTCGAGGTGAAATGACTATATATAGAGAAGTAATAACGTAACGACAAATGCGGTAATGGTAATACGTATGATCAAATAATAATTGAAAATAAATTCTCCGAGTAAGGAGCGTGCCAACCATCCAACCATGTTGAGACAGGAAAGCCGAGGTTTTGGATGTTAGGGCGTGGTTGGTGTCTCATTAAAGAGAATGAGGTCTCGAGGGACGTAGGTGTGAGACCTCTCAACGAGAGGTTATGATGAGCCGGGGAACCGAAGTGATAACAGCCGTCCAAGGTAAGGGGACGTGATGGATATATGGGGTTTCGTGTTTACACCCTTGATGACTACATCTGTATGCTGCCAGGTGCTTCCTCTTCCTGTTCCTCATCCCTCTTCCCTCCTCCTCGTTACTTTTCATTTATCTTTATTTTTTATTCCTCGAAGCGTCGGGTTCGGGGGTGAAGGCAGTCGAGGAAGATCGAGGAGACGGTAGGTTCCTTTTTTTTTTTGCATCCTCTTCCGTCTTCGAGGCAGGCTGTTGCTCATGCGATGGATTTCGAAACAGGTTTTACCTCGGATGTGGGCATGTATGTGGGCCTGGGTGTGGCCCTAATCGTGGCCGGACTCGTGGCTCTAATTGTCCTTCGTGCCTTGCGGAGGAAGGGATCTTCTCGTGGCATCTACTCCATGGCCAATTCCAGTGAGTGCCCTCGCCTGAGTTCCTTCACACTTTTCACACTTCTAACAGGGTGATTTCGAACGCGCGGATGCAGGTCCGGTCGGAGCGGTCCGACTCGGCACGCCTGGCAGAACCACGTCATTACACTTAGCGACTAATTCCAGATAATGACTGCCGAAATTCAATGAGAATTGGTGGACCTATTCATTCTATGGTGTTCACCGCCCTTCATTTTCGATGCTCATGGACGAGTGTTCTGAGGCTTTCTAAACCTCAAATACTGCATGGTCAGTCTGCCTGGGAAGCACCGGTGCATAATATTTCATGTTCTGGTTCACTGAATAAAGCTTTGGCATCTCACCGAAAAAAATATATCAAGCAAAAAAAAAATCACATCTGTGCAACATCATTAATATAAATTAAATAATATATATATTCAGAAAAGCCTTCTGCATCTGACACACCGGCAGTTGATAAAGTTCATCGACATTTTCGGATCACCCGCTTTCCGAGAGGATAACAGGAATCCTTCACGACATCGTTTCTGCCGCCTCAGACTATCAAGGGTCGGAGGAGGAGAAGAAGAGCATGGTCGAGATCCACGTGAACTGCGAATCGGATTACTCGGAGCCGAGAGTCGCAGGGAAGAGCGAGCACTACTACGACCTGCCGCTGCCTCCGCCTCCGCCCGCGACGACGCCAGCAGCCGCCTCGCCGGATGCCTCCCCGGCGCACCATCTCCCCCTGCTCTCCATCTCGTCGCGGAGCATGGAGAGCCTTCACTCTGGCACGGGTCCGTTCCGCCTCTCTTGCGATCGGTGTCGATGGGGAGCCTGCTTTGGGTTGGTCCGTGCCGAGGGAGCCGAAACGTAATCTGTCTTGATTCCGTGACGGGTGTCTTTCTGGAGGTCTTCTTCGATGGATTTTTCTTTAGATGGCCGAATTTAAGGCGCGTCGCAACCTCGATTCTCCTATGAGTTTCTTCGTCGCCTGAAACGTTGCTAAAAATGCTAAAAATTCTTAAAAAAATATGCTAACATTACAAGAACAACTTAGAGGCAATCAAAGCCGTTATTTGGATAGCTGTGGAAGAATGGCGCAGTCCATAATATGCAGCTGATTTTATTTTTCGTAGAATTGCGATATGCTAGTCTCTAGAACAATCGATGCCGAGTCCGAGAAGTTTTCGCCTCTGAGTCTTTCGACTGCTATACAGCTATATGATGCAAAAATAATTATATTGATGCACCCGAGAAAATTCAGATGGTTGAGCAAGTGCAACGAGCAATCCATTCTCTATGGGGATAAAAAAAAAAAAAGCGTGCGAGACTCGACGTTAGCCGGCAGCGGAGTAGTCTGAATCTGCCTCGCCTCTTCTCGACCGGTCGACCGTTTTGACTGGCAGGTCCCGTTCGTTTGAATGATCCCGTCTAGCCGCGTTGTCTGGATCTTCTCTAGATCCTGGGGGGGAGACCACCCTCATGCTTCCAACTATTCAGTCGATTCAAGGAGTATAGTCGTGGCTCGGGTCGATGGAACCGCGTAACTGTAGTCATGCCCGAGCGTTCTGGAGCCGTGCCCGTCGAGTCGAATCCCTTTCTGTCCTCACCTCGACGTCATCCTCTAGAGAATTTCATCGCCCCGGCATTGAATTAGGAGAAAGAGACTGCGGGTGGAGATAGAGACGGATGAGATCTCTCCCCTCCGTTCTGACTGTCGTCAGCGTGAAGATGGGAAGGAGGACCCCCGCCTCCACGAGAGACATCTAGTGGGAACTGACTCAAGGTCTCGATAGGAATCTATCACCGTCCTCTCCGCGTTCATGAGGCGAGATGCTCCCTCGCACTGCGCATGCGCGGCAAGGACCAATCGAAGGCTGCTTCCTGTCTCGCGTCACCATCGGATGTCCGCAAGTTGAACGTTCTTGCTTGCAGTGTCATCTGGGTCGGACAAGAGCACCCTGACGTGCAAGTCGACGGTGGGGTCTGGAGGGGACGCGAGCAGCGTGGTGTCGGGTCGGGTGTCCTCGTCTGGGGCCCGTCTGTCCTTGCCCGGGGACCGGGTGACCCTAACCATCCCCGAGGGTGCTCTGCCGGAGGGCAAGTCCATCCAGATCTACCTTGCCGTCCTTCGCGATGAACGCGATCGGCCCTCTCTTCGAGGTTGGTCTTTGGTTTTGCCGCGTCTTTCCGTCCCTTCCGGTGTTCCCACTCTTTTTTTCATCTCGTTTGCAGATAGGGAGACGCTTGTTAGCCCCGTCCTGGAAATCGGGCCTGTGGGCCTCAACCTGTTGAAGCCGGTCATCATGTCTTTCCAGCATTGTGCCAGCCTTCAACATGGCCATTGGTCTCTCTCTGTCCTTCAAGCCGATCCCGTCACCGATAGTCGCCCGCAGTGGACGGTGAGTTGAGCGCTGTCGGTTTTTTCTCGACCTCTCTCTTCGTCACCAAATCAAGAAATGAGTGGATGCATTTAAATGCACTAAATTAAATTACAACAAAAGAGCAGAAGTTGTGCGGAGAATCAGATAATCAAAGGTACTGATCTCAATATATAATATTTATATTCGCATCAGCAATGCTTTAGTTATTTACGTAATAACCCTAATATGAAAAAAATCTATTGGATCGATTTATGTAATTAAATTCTCGTCAAAATTAAAAACTAATAAATAAATAATAAGTGAAGCCACGATGGCGTTGACCGAATGTGTCCGCATAACAGCCGATCGTGCACCTGGGGAAAGAGACGATCGCGACACCGGCTTTCGCCCAGTTGGACGCCTCCACCTGCCACCTGGTGGTGGAGAGATTCTCGTGTTACGCTCTAGTCGGACATTCGACGGGGGCCAACGGGATGGGGGTGAAGTCCCTGCTCCTGGCTCCCTTCGTGGCCTATTCCTCGCCCTTCGGCGCTCAGGACGCGAGCATTCGGCTCTACTGCCTCGAGGACACGCAGTCGTCGCTCCAGGTCGGTGCATGTTGGATGGGTTGATGTGTATACATGCGATACTTTCAACAGTGTTCTGAAGTATTTATGAATTTATGGGAAGATTTCGGGTCGAGGTCGTGAGTCTTTTCCTCGCCTCCATGAGTGGAAACGTCTTTCCTCGCGAGACGATTGCAGTAAATGGAAACAGAAAAAATATATATATATAAAGTATGTAAATTCTTTTTAAATACTTGAAAGGAAAAACATTTTAAAAAGTAATAAAGTGGAGGTAAAGCACTTCCATCCCCGTGACAGAAATATAAAAATGGTTTTAGATAAATTAGCCCGATCGAATAACACAGCTTCCTCCTCCCCCTCTCTCCCTCCCACACGCAATCGTTTGTTTCTCACTCGTATGTCTACGAACGCGTGTGTGCACAGGGCGTGATCCAGTCGGAGAAGAAACTCGGAGGACGACTCGTTCAAGACCCGACAGCCTTCCTCTTCCAAGACGGAGGCGGGGGCCTCCAGGTGCATATGGATGTGCTCGCCGGTCCCTGGAGGCCGAAGCCGCACTCCGCGCAACAGGTTTGGGATGTTCTGTGCTAAGTGGGGGAGAAGTACGGTACAGTTTGAGGGTATACAGAGCGGCAGTTTTCGCACTTTTTGCTTTACGACCCCTTTTAAGAACAGGCTATTTCGTTGCTTTCCCTCCCATTCCGAATAACAAGTTGCAGGCGCTATTTGGTCCTGTATTAGCTTCTTCTTATTCTTCTCTTCGATGCTACGTTAAACAACGAACAGCTTCAAGCAATGCAATCGCATGAAACATGTTTAGTTTTATCCTAATGGATGCTCTTGAACCCGCGCCTCGTGTACTGCAGGAGATCCCGTTCAGACACATCTGGGACTGTCGTCAGAGCGGGCTGCACTGTTCCTTCAGTCTGGAGCTGGTGGACCCGGTGGGAGGGAGCGACGGGAGCGTGGACATCACGCTGTCGATATCCCAGAGCCACCCGCTGCCCCCGACGGCGTCCCCGCTGCCGCTGCCGAGGAGGAAGACGCTGAAGGTGGCCTTCAGCCTTCCCCACGGCCATCCCGGTGAAAGCCCGATCCTGCCCCTGAGGAACGCGAGCGTGGTGACCACCAGCAGCGGCTTCTCGAGCGACGCGACCTCGGCGTTCCGGCTGTCCCCCGGGGTGAAGAGGGAGCTGTGTCGGGCGCTCGATCCGCCTCATTCCGATTGGCGGCGACTTCCTCAGCTCCTCGGCATGGACAGGTAGGAGTCATCCCGATGCCTCAGGCGGCCTCGTGCCGAGGAGAACGACGATCGGGCTCCGTGTATGTTGTGGTGTCTTTAATGTCAGAAAATGTAAAATGGGCGAGGATCATGGAACTTGTAGTTTGAACCTTTTGAAAATGTCTGTCTGAATTTTATTGCGAAATGGTAGAAACATTAAATTTCGACTATCGTCTTCCTATGTAAATTAGCAATAAACCAAGAGGCAGTATTATTTAAATCCAATTTTCGCATTCGAAAACTCCCAAAATTCTAAGGAAAGCAAACATTTCAAAAGAAGTTACGTTTCGATTGATTGAATGAAGTAGTTGCTCTGATATTTTCCCTTATATTCCGTTCTTCCACAACAGGTACGTGGAGTACTTCGGAGCGAAGAGGAGCCCGACCGAGGCGATCCTGGACTTGTGGGAAGCGAGGGGCTCGGGACTGAACGAGCTGGTCAGCGCATTCCGCCTCATGGCACGTCCCGACTGCGCCGAAGTCCTGGATAAATACTCCTCGTGGCTATGAGTCACTCCCGACCAAAGATCTCTCTATATCGCTCTTCTCTCGATCAATCTTCATCGATCAATCGAAATCAAAAGCCCGTTCTTGTCTTCTTTATGCCCCACTTCTCAGCTGTGATACGATGGAGCTCGTGTGGAATCGAATAGAGCATGTTTAGCTCAGTGTCCAAAGAGTTATTTACTTCGTGGTTCTCGGCACACCTGCCGTTGCAGGATGAGAATTTTATTATCGTCTACATAATGGCGTCATGCTGCACGATAATAATATGGTAACAGACAGTATGGCGTGATATGGCTGGAGTCACACCGCTACATTATTTATACCATATGTCATGAAAACATGTTACATTTTGGACTTGAGAGCAGTCACAAAGGAGCAAGCCATTCGCAGATAGGCTTGTGCGAGCGAAGTACCGCACCTGTACGCTTATCGTTCGTTGTAGCAGCTGGGGTCGTCGTGTTCAATCGGTGTGCATTCGTGTGGCTGTTACTAAGCCCAAATTGTAACATGTTACCGGTATATATAGTTTTATAACACGTCGATGAAACGGCGAGATAATGGACGGAAATAAGAATTTCTGCGGGTCGATGAGAATCGTACCCATAAACGGTGGTGTTTTTGTTTCCTTCTTTTTTTTCACAAAAAGAGAGCAGGGCATGCTTCCTGTTTGTGTGGCATAGAGTTCATGCCATCGCGATTCCTGTTGTTTTTGGGAAGGGCTCTCCACAAAAGAGGGCGAAAAGGAGGGGGCAGGGGGGGAAAACGAGGACAGGAGGGGGAATAACTCCACAGTAGATCGGATTTGTGAGGGATGAATGAATGAAGCCCTGTCATGTCGTAAGCCCTGAGAATTTAATTAAACCCAAGTCGTGCAGACATAATGGGACGTTATCTCTCTGTCAAGCGACAAATTGCTCGAAGCGGAATCCTTTCTGTCCCTATCACAATGGGAGAGCCACCGACATCATGACGAAATCCACATCGACAAGAAAAATGAAGACGGCCGAGCCCCGTCCTCCTCCTCCTCTTTTCAGCCCTTTGTAGACGATGAGGGACGGCGATAGAAGATGGAGGATGGAGGATGGAGGATGGGTGAAGCGCCGCTCCACGCTTCTCTATGGGAGTCGATTGACTTCGCTTGTATTTCAGGCAGACTCGATGTCGATTTTATCGGTATGAGTGGCGGAAAATCGGCGTAGTTTGAGTTCGGATAACGTCGCGTGGACGCAGACGTATGTGGACGATTGCATAAGTAGTCTAATTTCTTATTCGGGGAAAGACGCCATGTCAAAAGGGAAGGGAGGGTTTTGCATGCGAGCTATACAGTATAATGGATGTATAATGGATGAGTCATGAAACATTTGGTTTCGAAGTCCCTTCATCGTCGGATGACGCTTAATAGAAAAGCTACAATAACTTGCGAAGTCGCTTTCTCGGCACGGTTTGCTGCCTCGTAAATTATCGCACACCAGCAAGAAATTCCAAGATTAAATTTCGCGCGTTGTAAGATCGAAAATGGGAGATTAAGATTGAGCTTCTTTCGATTATATTAATTCAGGAAGCCAGGCCGAAATGCAGAAACGACAGCTCACAGCTGCCAGTCTTCTTTCTCCCCCCCTCTCCCCTGGATGAGGTTCGTGTATTCGGGTTTTAAGCTTAAACGCCACTATATTCCCAAAAAAGGACATGCAAGGCAATTTTCGAAGTGGCTAAAGTTCATCACGAAATGTTCAATGCGGTAGAAA